GGGGGGTCCTGAGGCATCCACGGTTCCACTGAGCTCATCCTGCAGCTGGGAGGAGGGGGGGGGGTGGGTGGGCTGCATCCTGCCCTGAAAGCCGCTTATGGCTTTAAACCGCCTTTAGGATTCAGTTTTAATTAAAATGGCTTTAGTGGGGAAAGCTGGAACTGATGCGGGGTGAAGCAGCTCGGTGCTGGTGGAGGTGGGGAGGGGGAGTGGGACCCCCTGCCTCCATCCTGCCTCCAATCCTGCCTCCATCCTGCAGGGGAGCCACCTCCGTGGTGTACAGCTGTGAGGAGAAGGGCACACGTACCCCATATGCTGCCAAGATCCTGAAGAAGACAGTGAGTGTTGGTGGCACTGGGGGTCTGGGAGCGTGAAGGGCATTGGGATGGGGATGTGGGGATGTGGGGATGGGGATGGAGATGCTCTGCAGTGCAGGGCTGGGGGGGGGGGGAGCACAACAGGCTTAAATTCTGGGGCAGATCCTGCCTCTGCAGTGCGAATGGCCGTGGGGGGGGCTGTGCAGTGGAACCAGCAGAGATGGTGATGGATGTCAGCGGGTTCTGCCTTCCAGATCGACAAAAAGATCGTGAGGACAGAGATCGGGGTCCTGCTGCGCCTCTCACACCCCAACATTGTGAGTAGGAGGCCGCAGTGCCCCCATCCCAGCATGGCTCTGGGTGAAGCCATCACCCCGTCACCCCATCACCCGGCCCCCTTGGTGCCCTATGGCACAGCGCAGCCCCGCTCAGCGCCGTCCCCTCCTTCCCCATCACGGCGCAATGGGGGCTCACCCCCTCCATAGCTGCTCCCCACCCCCCACCCCGCTCCCCATCGCCCTCAGCTTTCCATTCGGTGAGCAATTTCCACCCAGGAGATGAAATGAGCACCGAAGCCAATTGCCCATCAGCGAGGAATGCTGCGAGGGGAGATAAGAGGCGAGGAGAGGGCGAGGGGCTCCCTGCACCCAGCACTGGGGGCAGCAGCTCCTCCATCCCAACACAGCAGAGGAGGGGACCAGGTTTGATACACCCATAGAAATGCCACCAGCTTTGCTTTGTGCTCTCCCACACCCTTTGGGCACACGAGGAGCACCCATGGGTGCCTCAGTGCTAAGAGTTTCCATAGGGAGCCCCGAGCTGGCAGCTGCTGCATCTCCTTCTATACAACAGCGCCTTCGGTCCGTTTGCTAGCATTGAAACCAACCTCGACGGTGGATGATAATAGGATTGTAAACTTTTGAAGTTAATAGGAAAATTATAGTGCTTCTGTGTATTATTATAATGCAGTCGGCTGCCGCCGGCCCTGCGGGGTATCACGGCTCGTCACCCGGCCTGCGAAGGTAATGATTAAAGCCCCATGAAATCCGCAGTGTCACAAAAGTCCTAAGAAGCGTGAAATGCTCTGTTTTCTGTCTAAAAAAAAATTAAAAAATATATATATTGCATTTTTGACTTCTTTTTAAGAGAGAATCTGTTAATTCCAGATTCGCCGCGCGGGCACAAAGCGTTTGTGCAGACCTCGCACGGCGTCTGAAGGGAAAATGATAAGGAAAATGGAGATTGTTTTACGCTCCTTCCATGCAAAGCACTGCTGGTGCTGCTCCCCTGTGGGTGCTGCTCATGGGGGCCCCGGGTGTCACAGCTCAGGAGGTGGCATCGCAGCTGGGCTGTGAAATCAATGTGTGTCCCCAGCTCTATGAGTCGACAGGGCTGAAGTCCTGAGGAGGAGCAGCCCCTGCCTCCCCCTTAAAGCATGTGAGCGAGGCAGTTCCAGATCTGGGCTGAGACAAACAGGAGAGGAGGGGATGTGGGGGGGGGGGTGTCTGTGCCAGTGCTGCCACACCTGGAAGTTACGTGGTGGGAGTGAGCAGGGTCCTATGGCACCAGCACAGCCATGTCCCAATGGCACAGCCATGTCCCAATGGCAAATCCCAATCCCAATGGCAGAGCCTTAACCCCAAT